ATCAGTTCTTAAGTTTGATATTAAAATGCCTGACCACAGACCCTTCAAAAAGCATTCACAGTATTGGTAATAAGAGAAATTTTCAAGAGATTTTTTTTCCCTGTCTTTTCAAAGGCACTCTTTTGTTTACAAATTGAGTTTATAGAAAATTCTAAACAAACAGTACCATTAGACACTTGGAATTATTGGTAGAGATAAGAGATATGGTGACGACACACTGTTTTCCATTTAAAAGTAAATTTGACATATAATCAATTTTGAACTACCTAGTCCAACAGCTATTCCACATTCTTCTCATGGTTGAGTAATTCCTAGATATCTGAATTAACATTATAGTCATTTTTTGTTTAAAAAAAAAAAAAAGAACATTCCTGTGCCACCTCTTAGACTTGTCTTAAGTTTATATAACTTTGTTTTAGAAATCTGGTTTCATGTTCAGTTAATTAGGAAACAGCAAATATCAGAACAGCTTAGCCAGACTTTAAGAGGCAAAAAAGGGTTGCTTTGGCAATGTATAAAAGGATAACTGTTACAGTACAAATCACTATTTAATCTACTTTTATTAAATATTAAAATGCATAAGGCAATTGTTGTTTTAAGACACTTGAAAGACATTTAATGAATGGATAACTGGCCCCACACCTGAAATATTGCACCCCTCCTATCCTTCTCTATTTACTCTAAGGAACCAAAAGAGTTATTTAAAAACAAAAAACAGATCCATGATCTTTCTAAAACACTTCAAAGAGGTTCTGATTACCATTAAAGTATTTATTACTTACAATACAAACTTCTGAGAGACACTGAATAGTATCTTTTCAGGCTTTCCCCTTCAGTGTGTTTCTCCTATTCTCTTGAATCCATTCTTAATGGTGTGACTGCAAATATGCCTACTGAGGAATCAATAGATGTGATTTATTGGGTAAACTGCCATTCAAAGCAGGGCAATGATTCCCAAATTTGGCTTCCTATCAGTTTCATGTAAAAAACTGCTGCTAAGATCCCTGGGGCCCTTCGGACCTAACCAAGCCATCCCCTCCACCCCAGCCTCCCCTGTGAATCCATGTGGTTAGTCTTGCATAACCCAACACCTGGGATGACTTTAGAACAATATTATAAAGGAGGGTATCTGTCATCATGTTTCCACAGGTCTTAGCTCACAAACTGGGATCCAGGTAAAAAAAAAATACAATGTTGATCATCACCACTAAATTTAGGTCAGTGAGTAGAGTGACCGGAAAAAGACTCTAGTATTGATAAATCAAACCAAGGTAGCTGTGCTGCCCACCTCTATGAAAGCCAACACCCCTCCTGACCCTGGAGGGTCTCATGAACTGAAACACAAGCCAGGAAGACAGTTGCATGGGGAGGGGGTGCTAAACTAAAAAGTGACTGTTTCCATAGCATTTCTCTCCATCTCCACTTCTCGATTTTCCCACTCTCATTCCATCTTTTCTCTTACTCTGCCGTTTGCCATTCTCACTTTTACTCCCTTCTCTTTCCTCACTTTTCTCACTTTCTCTTTTTTCCTTCTATTTGATTATTCATTTATAATCACCCCTTTCTGCTCTGCTTTCTCTTTCTTAAAAACTCCTCCTTACATAATATAAGCAAATTCATACTGGAGATATAATACATGTCAGAAAACACTCATCCACTCACCCTAAGGAAACAAAATGATATGTATAGGAGGCAACATAACAAAACAGAACCTCAACAGTAATGCTCGTGTGGCATGTACAAACCATAGAGAATGCATTCAAATCTGTCATTTCTGTTGAGTCACATAACTTCCTGACTTATGACTTCTGAGTCTCATGAGGTGGGAAGAGCATATTGATTGTTTACAAACCAAGGCACATCGAAGGTGAAATGAAATGCCTGGGATCCCAGACCAAGAAAATAATCCAGATGTAACACACAGACTAGTTTTCTTTCCACTATACCAGTAACATCTCATGGGAGGCAAGACGAAAGAGCAACAGATAAGCGGTACTATTATTTCAGGTTCTAAAGTGTCCAAAAGATAACTGGGTTACCTTATATATTATGAACTATTCCTCACAAGGAAAAAAATTTTATGTATTGCTTTAAAATGTAAATCACAATATATATTTTCTAAAGGTTTCCAAGTTCTTTTAAGATGGCTACTTCATACAAATAAAGTTTGACTACAGTTTGAAGTCATTCCACTTTGGTAATATCGTAGCCCAGAGATCGTTCTGAGGTCAGAATTGTTCTAACACAAAGACTCAAAGAACATTATATAATGTAATTTATATAAACTGCATAGATATACTGTTTTATGAAAAGAAATATAATATGTTCTCTAAGTTGTTCTACAATTTTATTTCATTAATGCTGAGAACTGCCTTTCTTAAGAATTCTCAAAGAAAAAGTTACCCTATCTAAAGATAAATTCAGAAAACTCATTTTACTATTGTTATGAACTTTCTGTAATAACCTAAATTTTAGGTAAATATAGCCCCTAAAGTAGGAAGTTTTCACCATACCCCAATTTATGGTAAAATGCCCAATTAAGTCAGGTCTGAATAAACCAGATGAAGAACCTTCTAACTGATCTACAGTATGGAGCATGTGACAGTGTAAATAAGTCACAACATGAGACCACAGTATACAGTTCAGTTGGATTAAATCATGACCATACTCTACATAGTCCCAACCCACTCTATTAGAGGCTCTCTGTTCACTGAGGAAATTAAAACTAAGAAACTTACTAATAATATAAATTCCTATTTTTTCAATAACCCCAATTACTCTAATATTTCAGAATCACATTTATAATCCAGCTGTGCCAAGAATTATGGTATTCTAACTTCAATCTTCAAGTTGGCAAAATGATTCCTAATAGTTCTAAACTAGCTGACATCAGAATCACCTGAGGTGCTTATTAAAAACAGAATCATATGACTTATTTTTGTACCCTAATTCTAACATCGGAGACAATTAAGGAAATTTGCTTAGGAATGGATAGTAAATGACGTCAAAGGAGGTATGATGTCATCATAGTTACCAAAGTACTTATAGCGATGAAATAATAGGCTCTCTGGGATTTTCTTTAAGAGACTCTTCAGCAAAGAAAAGGGGAATAGATAATGCAAACATCGTTTAGATATTTTAAGGGTTTGATCTGGGCAAGAAGTACCACTGTACTGTTCTACTTTTGCGTAGTTCTTAAATCTCTTCACTAAAAAAAAATGTTGCAGACTCCATCCTAGACACAGTGTACAAGAGTCTCCTAAGTGAAGCCCAGGGATCCACATTCAACAAGCTCCCCACGAGAGTCTAATATAGACAGGCAAAGTTCTCTCTTGGGGGCCACTAGAAATGATCTTATATGTACCCTCCAAACTTCAAAATTCTAGGATTCTCATTTTCTACTCAATAAACTCAATTTCAGCACAGTTCACAAGATCTCATATTCACCATGGCATTCTGCCAAGGACATAGAGGCTGTGTTCTCTAAACCCATCTATTCGAAGAATGCTGGGCTGGTTATTAACTTCCAATTTGCCTTTTTTACACCTTCCTCTCTCAATTTGACCCTGACTAAAGTGAAAAAGACAGGGGACAACCACACTGACCATGTCTATCTGCATATGTCATGTTTCCACAGAGGGCACTCTAGCTTTATAAAGCTAATCACCACTATTTTCACGCAAGTGGTATTCTTCCTTCATGATTTTCCCTTCTCTAAGTATTAAGATATCAAAAGGGAAAAGAATAACCATGTAGTACTTACTAAAGTGAGACATACACTGCAGCACAGTACATGCTAAGTACTCAGAATCTACAGTTACGTTAGAGAATAGTCAAGAACACTAAGAGAAATAATGTTTCAAGATTAAAAGAAAGTCTTAAGTGATGCTCAAAAAAGGAAGACATGTACATTAAACCAATCAAAACTACTTTTTTAATACTCAGAACAATCTTCTTAATCCAAATCATTCGTGAACGTTGTCTGACTGACTTAAAGTAAGGCTCTCTACATTTGCTTCTTCAAAAGTATCTTGCAAAGCCATTCTGAGGTAGAAGAAAAAAAAAGTTTAAATGGACCACCTTTTTTCCTGCTTCATTGTAACCAATATTACTGTTCACAGGAAGTATACAGCTTATGCATTTTGGTCCATCACATTTTCCACAATCATGGAAGTATACTAGTTAGGTTCTCATTTATGATCAGCAGATCTTTTGCTTCCAGAATGCCCAGTAAAGCTGAAAATTTTCATTCAAAGTGATGAAAATTTCCAAAAATATCTGTTTAACAATCTCAGATCTGAGTTTTGGCAAGACAGGTTAGCATATACAAATGAAAATACTACGTTTCACAAACACACAAAGAGACAAAAACTCCCAACATTTTTACCGTTTTTTTCACTTTCTTATACAGCTCAGTTTTAAACGTGCAGCTTACTTATAATCTAATCTTAAACATGATTGTCACAGAAATAGTTTAAAACAGAGATGAAATGTATAAAGGCACACATCGATTGTCAATAGTTACATCGGTTACATCACATTGCTTTAGAAACAGAACACGTTCTGTTCCTGTAAACTTTGTGTCACACATTTAAAGTGAGATTAGTGCTGACATAAAACTACTGCTATACTCACAGTTTGAGTGTTTTCACTGTGTATGAGGTACATTTTCTCCATCCATACACCCCTACTGTTCTTACTTACTTGAGAAGAGTCAACCAAATTCTGTAGGCTACAACCATTCAATGTTTTCATCAATACTGGAATGACAGCAAATAACATTACAAAACATCAGAGATCAAAAGTGTCTTCTTGTTGGGATCCAATACTTTAACTTATTCTTCATTACATGAATATTTGCTTATTTAACTTCTTCAGGAAAAACAATTATTCTAAAGATGAATAATTCCTTCCTGAACACTTCATTCAAGACTATTCCTTCACACATATCCCCTGATATTTTGTTGTTTTAATTCATTTGATTTGGCAGTCACCAAGAATCACCTTTCCTTTGGTGGTCTATCATAACGATCTTGTATGCTTTTTGTTAGCTGTTTGATAAATATTTTGTAAATTTTTCCACAGTAGGTATGGACTGTCTTTTGTAGTTCCAGTTCTAAAGGTTTTAATAAGGAACGGATGTTGTCATCTTTAAAAGAACACTAGAGAAAGAAAATAAAAAGACAAAGATATATATAAAAATTTAATTAAACTCCAAACAACTTCTTCAATCAATTTAATATTGGTAACTTCCAGTCTCACAAAAAGTATATATGCTCAACAAATATGTTCAATGAATTAAATGGCTGTATGATATCACATTAGTGGAGAAAGTCAGAGTAAATCACTGGGGGCATCAGGGAAAGTTTTTCAGAGAAGATGTAATGGAGGCAGGGCATCCCAAGCCAAGGCAAGAAAGAACATGTACAAAGGGCAGAGAAGGCCCAGAGACACGTACTGGTATAAGATGATGATCAAAAGTTCTGAAGGTGTCTGAGAGACACTAAGGAAGGACAAAAGTCACTCTGGTAACAGTGTTGAGGCTATACTACAAAGGACTGAGAGAAAGCCATGGAGTGGGAGGAATGTAAAACGCCAGCACGGTTCAGGGTTTCCCGAAGAGCCCCTAACTACACAAAGGGGTCCCATGGGTAAATGCATTTGGGAGCTGCTGCACATTATGCACTCTTCGTGGGAACTCACACTGGCACATGAAAAGCCCAAGGGTGTCTGGGGCGGCTCAGTCGGTTAAGCATCTGACTTCAGCTTATGTCATGATCTCATGGCTTGGGAGTTCGAGCCCTGCGTCAGGCTCTGTGCTGACAGCTCAGAGCCTGAAGCCTGCTTCAGATTCTGTCTCCCTCTCTCTGGGTCTCCACCCCCCCTCCCCCACCACTTACACACTCTCTCTCTCTCTCAAATATGAATAAACATTTTTAAAAAAGAAAGAAAAAGCAAAGCAAAGCCGTAAACAGTAAAATGAAAAATACACATGTTGAACATTGTTTGGCCCACTATTTCCAAAATATATTTTTGACCAGTCCTTTTTCCCTGTAAAATACATTAATATCCCAAGGAATATATTTTGAAAAATACTGTAGTAGCAGCTAAGTGGAAATAACTTGTGATTTTAGTGTTTTCAACCAGCTCTGTTTTTTTAAAATAATTTTTTCAAGTTTATTTATTTTGAGAGAGAGCGGGAGAGCACAAGTAGGGGAGGGACAGAGGGAGAAGGGGATAGAAGAATCCCAAGCAGGCTCCATGCTGTCTGCGCAGAGCCCATTGCAGGGCTCGATCCCAAGAACGCGAGATCATGACCTGAGCCGAAACCAAGAACAGGACGCTTAACCTACTGGCCACCCAGGCATCCCTAACCAGCTATATTGTTTTATTTGGCCTTTGCAACTAGGCATTTTTTCAATTAGAATGATAGATGGGGCTTGAAAATGGAACATTTTATGTGAAAGTTTGGCATCAGTGAAATATGCAAGATCTTGAAGGAAATCCAGAACCTGAAATCACAGAAGGATCAAATGACCTGAGGTCATTCCCAAGGTTCACCACCATGACACTGAGTGGAAGGAAAGGAAAGCACTACTTGAATCACAATTAGTGAGTCTGCAGGAAGCCGCAGCCAACCTTTGGAAAGAGGATGAACTTGGATGATAATTTGTAACATGGCTTTTATCACTGTATAAATGTAAACAGATGCTAAACCTCAGTATCTCTTCAGAAAGAAAACTATGAGCATTAACTGCATGAAACCATCACTCTTGGGGTGATTTTCAAAACCCAATCACATACACTGAAGATAAACATTGTTTTGAATATCAACAAAAGGGGGGAAGGGGAGCTTCACTAGGAAGAATGTAATGAAAATAATAATTTAAAAAAAGAAGAAAGAAAATAACTGACACATAGGTATCTGGGAGAAATTAAAAGCTGGACTAGTTTTGTTTTGTTTTGTTTTGGTTTGGTTTGGTCTGGTTTGGTTTGGTTTGGTTTGGTTTGGTTTAAAGGACCTCCTACATGCAAAGCACCTAAGAGCTTTAAATGTATTAAGCATTTAAGCCTCACACCAACTTTAGGAACGGTAATATAATTACCCCACTTACAATCAAGCAACTAAGTTACAAACAACTGAGGCAAGGAGAGAGAATTCTCCTAGTTACAAAGGTAGTTAAGTAGCCAAGCCAGAATTCAACCCCAGCTCCAAAACTACAAGCTGCCGACCACCACACAGCACTGCTTATCCAAATAAATATATGAAACTGTGTCAAATCAGTTTCAAAAGTCCTGTTGAAAGGTAAAGCTCAATTAACAGTGGGAAACTGGGAAAACAGCTATGCTGTGTAAAGGTGTGCCTAAAATTTGTTTGGGGTTAAAAGCAGCAGCCATGTTGAACGAGGCAACCTTTATCAAGTGACACTGTCAAGTAACATCTCAACGTACACAAAAAACATGCTTGGACAACTGTGTTTGAGAGGCAGATAATACTGCGAAGACCAAACTACGATCTTTTTCTTACTCAGCAATGACAATAAAATAAAAATATTACAAAGCTGCTTAAAAGTTAATTCCCAGAGGGGCACCTGGTGGCTCAAGCAGTTAAGCGTCTGATTCCTGATTTAGACTCAGGTCATGATCCTATGGTTCTGTCAGTGCAGAGCCTACTTGCTATTCTGTCTCCCTCTCTCTCCGCCCCTCCCCCGTTTGCTCTTTATATCTGTCTCAAAATAAAAATAAACTAAAAAAAAGAGTTAATTCCCACAAATATGAAGTACTTGAGATTCAGTTCATTCATTTTCATGTTATTTAAATCCAAGTGCTTGTGGTTAAAAAATTTTTTCTTCCCTGAGAAACTATTTTGATGAAGATTTTTATGAAATAATAACAGTGCCTCATGAATTAGAGCTCTAATTTTAGTCCCAATAACACAACTAATTTTACCTTTAAGAGAGAAGACGATAAATTACCAAAATTTCCAACTATATAAATACAGCCTGAAGCCCCAGCACCTTCTGCCATTCATATAATCTGTAGCACCAAAAAGTTGTGCAGGACATAATTTGCATCTAGGTGCTCCCCTTCCCAGAGGCCACATGTGGCCTTACCTGACTACAGGCCTCTTTCCACACTGGATGCTGTGCCTGACTCATTCACCTTTCCTTCTCTGCCTAGTACTCATCCTTGTAGCTCAGTTCAAATGTCTGCACTTCTGAGAAGCCTTTCCTCATACAGTTAATCACTCCTTCTTCACTGGCACAGTACCCAGTACACAAACTTTTAAGATCATGCTTTTATACATAAGACTGTCAGTTGAAAGGCAGTGAGTAAGTATTGAGGCTAAGATGACCACAATTAGATAATCTGAGGCATTTTCAAAGAATAGAACAGGTTTTTAAAAGATGACAAAATAGCAGTTCAATCCAACAAAATGCTGAGAGCCAAGTACACACAAGACGGTCCAATAGTAACCCTAAACCACGATTTCACCTTCCACGGTTTCTGTTCCCTGCAGCCAACTGCAGTCTGGAAGCAGATGGTCCTCCTTCTGACACACTGTGAGAAGGTCAACAATAGCCTAACGCTGCTACAATGCCTCACTTCATCCCATCACATAGGCATTGCATCATCCCACATCATCACAGGAAGAAGGGTGAGCACAGGACAATAAGATATTTTGAGAGAGACTACATTCACATGACTTTTATTACAATATATTGTTATAACTGTTCTATTTCATTATTGGTTATCGTTAATCTCTTATGTGCCTAATTTATAGAGTAAATTTTATCACAGATATGTATGTATAGGAAAAAACAAGTAGATATAGGGTTCAGTACTACCTACAGTTTCAGACATCCCCTGGGGGTCTTGAAACATGACCCATGGATTAGGGGTGGGGACTACCATTGCATAGGAGGGAAACACTCAGGACTCCCTTGCAGAGATAGTTATGCAAATATAAGCAGGATGTGGAGTAAATCAAAGTTAACACAGAACCACCAAGAAATGTAATTCAGAATGAAATACATGAAGCAGAAAATACCTTATAGAGCAATAAAATGTTTTGTTCCCATTTTGCATTCGCAATTTCTAATCTTAATATTTTTATTCACTCAACAACTAATATTTAACAAATACGTATGGACTGTAAAACCTGATTTGCTGGAAGACACAGCCATGCATTTACATTTTAAAGATGGTTCATATCCTTTATAATTCAAGTTGTTCATCTGCATTCAATGGCTATGACTAAGTTTCTGTCTGAAACTCACATAAATACCCTTGTCTGAATGCAATGCTTTTAAAAATTACACTTCTCGTTGAATTATAGATAAGGGAAGATAAAAACACTAAGCAAGAGCACCATAAAAGACTGATTAACTTCATTAAATTGAAAAATGGAAACATATAACAATAGTTAATACAGATCCAAAACAAACACAAATAATCATTAATTCAGTATTTAAAAATATTTTAAAAGATTTATTTTTTAAAAATCAAGCATAATTAATCACCTTAAAACCATTACTCATCTTTTTAAAGGTATATATTTACCAAAGATAAAAGAAAAGATCATATAAAACTCGTGAGATTTAATTCCTCAGTAACAGATTTTCTTAATGCTCAAAGGAAACAAAGAAATCCTATTTTTCTAGGAATGCATTTCTTTTCAATCGTGCAGTCTCAGAATCCCAAAAGTACTTTTCTTCATTTTTACCACCTTTTGACAACCCACGATAAAGCATTATTAATATACAAAATTGATTTCTGAGGGCATACAAGGTCTGCTACATTAAAATGAACATCAACACTAAATTTTATAATTCTTCGGTGAGTGTCACTGTATCATGATACACTGATTACCCAGAAACTTTATCTGTCAAGTTTACAGAAGAAACTTAGCAAATACACAAAATGGTAGCCTACAATGCTCTCAGCACTGCACCTACCGCCACGTTTGAGAAACACCAATTTCCAGGAAAAAACTTCAGTTCCTTATCACTGCAGATCATCACTTAACCTGGCCCTGCACCAGAACACTGACCCCATCCCAGCCACTGCGAACCCAGCACTCCATCCAACTGAACAGCTCCACACCTGACCTCTCTGTGGACTTTTTGTGAAAAAAGCATTTTTTTGTGTAGAAAACCCT